ATATATATATATATATATGATATATATTAATTAAAACTGAATCTTGCATATATATTGCACATTATCTTGATAAATTTAATATATCAACAGGAGAATAATATACAAATGGGATATTACGGAAGATCCAGAAGAGAAGGAGGCATTGTGCCAGTTAAAGAAAGCAGGAGTACCCTATCATCCAGTAACTGCAGTTGGCCAATTGCAGTACCTTTTTGCAATGATGCAATTCGGCAATAGAAGCCTTCTTGATCCAGTCAATCTCGCTATCGCGTTATCCTTGGATACCAGAACGCAGCAAGATGCCCAAGAGTTCTCCAAATTGTTATTGTGCCATATTGAAGGAAAGCTACAGCAAAACTCAGAACTGGAGCAGATGCTGCAGAGGCTGACTCAGGGAAAATACAGCTATATCAATAGGTGGGTTTTTTGAAGTGGGAACAATGAGAATTTTCCTAAATGATAATGGTGCTAATAATTTTTACAATGACAACATGGTTGGATACGTTGCTCGCTACAATGACTGATGCTATCAACTGATTGTCCATTGACAGTGGAGAGTGAAATGACTTTTTAGTGGATAATTAAAATTTTGTGTTTGATGCAGTTGTTCCACGTGCAGCACTGAGTATCCAACGTCCACCACATTTTATGAGTTGGATCTACAACTGGCGGCAACTTTAAAAGGAGCGATTGACAATTATTTGTCAGAAGAACAGCTGACGGGAGCGGATCAATATCATTGTGTTACTTGCAATGATAAAAAGGACGCCAGGCGATTCATACGACTGGAATCTCTTCCAGAGACTTTAAATATTCAACTAATGCGCTTTGTATTCCATAGGTGAGCTTTTTATGAATTTTATGATAGTGTTTAATGAATGAATTTTATGATGATGTTATAATTTATAACAGAGATTCCGGACAGAAGAAGAAATTGAATTCATATATTCAGTTTCCTGAAGAGCTTGATATGTCGGAATATATTAGGTGTCAGCCTCAAACTCATCTGTACAGTCTCGTCGCTGTATTGAGCCACAAAGGTCCATCTGCATATTCGGGGCATTATATCGCGAATATATGTAATTCAAGCGGAGAATGGTATCAATTTAGCGACGATAAAGTTGAAAAAATGCAAAATAAACGAATCGAGGACAGCGTAAATGGTAATTTTTAAAATCAAATACTTTATATTCAATAATAAAGAAATAAATGTATGGCTTTTCACGCGAGAAGGCTGAAAGTCTCTTCTTTTTTTTATATATAGATAAATCAATGAAACGTGGGCGTGTTCCAAAAGGATTTCTGTCATCCAACACAGCTTATATGTTGGTTTATAAAAAGTTAACTTCGGATGTACGAATAAATGCTGTGAAGAAAGTAAAATTGAAAAAACTTGATGTAGAAATAAATGCCTCCAATGATACTGTTTACTGTGAGAAACTTGCAGTTACAGAAAAATCGGATACTGGAGATGAACTAAAACAGAAAGCTGATATTGATATTGAAGATACGCCATTAATTCAAGAAGAAAACTCTGAAAAAACATTGAAATTAGATTTAGAGAATGTAATAGAAATAAATGAATCTGCAATATCTGAAAAGACTGATACATCTATCATGGGTGAAAATAATACAGAAATTGTCGCTAGCACAAACGGATGTAAAGACACGCATGAGTCTACTGTAGAACAATTACAAAAGATTCACTATCTAAAAGAGTCAATGGTGAAAGTTGTTAAACTAGATTATAAACGATTGAATGGTGACGCACACAGAGCTATGAGTTGCGGTGAACGTGATTTTTATGAAGAGGTAAAAATTCTTTAGATATAAGTTCTTTTTAATTATTCACTAAATTTTGATTAATTAACATTTAATTAAATGTATTTTTCTCTTTACAGATGGAATTTGAGAAT